GTGAAAACAGGCTTTCAGACAGATCCTGTCACTCAGAAGGCAGAGGGCTCCGGGACACACCCCAGATTTACCCTCAGGCGAGCCCAATGCCTGTTTGCCACCACTACCCAGTAGATGTGTGAGGCTGAGGACTGCAGCATCCAATGAGATAACATCCAAGGAGAGGCTCTGTTAACTCCAAAGGGTTAAGTAAATTGAACATTAGCATTCTTCTGCCATTTTGAGGCTGAAGCTAAAGCATGATTACTTTTTAAAGTACACACCAGAATTTAGAGAAAAATGCCATCTACCAGTCTTCAAAGGCATATAAATGAATGAGTATAAGCCTCCAACCAACGTTTATGGACATGCTTTATGCTGATAGTGACCAGATTTCTGTACCTGTCCCACCTCTTCACATTCTTCTAGCACGCCAGGCTTCTCCTTCCTGACAGTTAATCCAGGTTATAACACGACGTCATGTGTTTATGTGCTTAATTCTACCTTTCTTAATAACCTGTCTCGTGATGTCTATGGGCCCCTGGAGGGTTGAGACTGTGTCACTTTGACTCAGCACTGTAATCCCCAGGACCCTGCCTAAAGGAAGGGAGGGAGAGAGGGAGGGAGGACAAGGAGCCAGGCGCAGTGCTGGGTACCAGGAACATTTGGTCCAACAGCTATGGAAGTGCTCACAGCCCAGCAAAAGGCAAGTCCAGGTCAGCTGGAGAAGGGCATGCACAGCAGGGGTGCCCACTGCGACTGTGGGAAGGAAGGACCAATTCAGAAAAGCTTCCCTGCAATAGGCTGTGTCTCTACAGCTGTTCCAAGGACTCCGGCTTTAGGGGCAGTTCTGGTCAGGGAGGCATGGCGATGCAGATCAGACCTACACTGGAGAGGAGGCCAGACCCAGAGATGCCACTCCTAGGGACAAAGAACAGATAGTTCTCACTTCCAGAAGTCGCGGCCACCCTCATCCAAGGCACTTTCATCCAAAAACCCATCACGGAGAACCTTAGATTTCCCCAGATTCATACTAACAACCGAACGAATGCCTTTCTATTCCTATTTCCTGGACTGAGGCTATGGGTCTGTGGGCATGTGAGAAAGACAACGATGAGGGAGCCATAAGTCCACTGTGCTTGGTTAAACACCACCATGCAGAAGTGCGCGGCTAAAACAGTGGGGTAGGAGCTGCCATCCCGAGGCCTGCCCTGCAAAATGGGATCCGTCTGTCTTCACCAGGGAACTATGATAAACGAGCAAAGACAGACACTGGTCAGGACAATCCACTTTATTTAAGAGCTTCGACAGCTGAAAGTGGTTTTACATAGAGGCATGGAAGATTTATCTAGATGATAAAATACCTGAACTTGAAAGGCACATAAATTATCAATTTGCAGGGTTTTTTTCCTTTTAAGATTTCACCTAGTCAAATGCTTTAAGTAATGAATGAAATGCACATAAAGTTGATTTCATTTCACAAGAGTTGTCTGGTTAGTGTCTGCAGAGAGTCTTTGCTTCTAGATGGGGTTGAGCTCCAAATCAAAGCCACCCATCTGTGTCTGTGGCCTTCTGTTTCCATATCTCAGTGGAGATCATTTGTAGGACTGATAAATATGATAATAATAACAGCAAATGTAACGGCCTGAGCACTCTCCATAGGGCAGCGGTCTGCACACTAGGACAGCACTTCATATTACAAGCATTACATAATACTCCTAACAGCCCCGGGAGTTCATACAATTGAGAGAGGACTTCAACTACTTCCCTTTGGGCCTCAAGCTCCCTAATTAGTTCTTTCCAGCTCATCTCTTTTTTTTTTTTTTAATTTTTATTTATGATAGTCACACAGATATAGAGAGAGAGGCAGAGACACAGGCAGAGGGAGAAGCAGGCTCCATGCACCGGGAGCGCGACGTGGGATTCAACGTGGGATTCGATCCTGGGTCTCCAGGATTGCGCCCTGGGCCAAAGGCAGGCGCCAAACCGCTGTGCCACCCAGGGATCCCTCCAGGTCATCTCTTAACTAGGCAAGAGACCCTGCAGGAAAGCATCCCTGATGGGAACTGAAACTACCCCCTCAAGCCATCCGGACTGCCCTGAGCCAGGAAGACTCCATGACGCACCCCAAGACACTGATCGACCTGACCTTTGCTGCCCACCTGCCTGTACCCACTGACCTTTGTCCCACATTTTCCTTATATAAACCTGGGAGTGTTTTTGACACTTTGGCAACAATCTTTAAGATGTTAGTCTGCTGTCTCCTGGGTGTTGGCCTCACTGAAGTAAATTCCTTGTTTCATTACCAATGGTCCCTCTGCCTTGGGACTTTGTCCGTAGTGAGTAGCTGGAAGCTGGATCCCCCCCCTCCCTTCCCAAGCCAGGTACTCGTGCATCTTTGCACCCCAGCTACACAATGATTCCCATTTTCCAGATGATGCAAAAGCTGAGCTTTAGAGTTTCTACGATGCACGTGAGGTCACACAAGCAATTTTATCAGACTCTAAAGCTGCAGTGTTCACCACAACACGGCAACATACATGAAAATACTTGGCCATGAGCAAGTACTTGAAAACACTAGCTCTTTTGCCTATCTTCACACTCCTTTCTTTTAATCGGCACACTTTTAACACCCAGAAGCTTGCCTCTGGGGTTTAGGTTCATCCATTCACCACTCATTCTGGGCCCAGTACTCGTCTGCAAGCAGGATTTACAGGATGGCATTCTCCAGCTCTAAGACCAGTCTCAGGCCATTACCACACCCCTACGAAGGTCGAGGGCAGTATGACACGGGGGCAGACCCTCACAGGGGACCCACACTGAGCTGTGGGGTAGAGATACAAACTGAATAAGACAGTTTTAGATCTTTTTCACCCTGGTCCCCACCCCCTCCCATATACATCCCTTAGCTTTTGCCCTGTTTCTCTGGCCAGAGACCTCAAACTCCGGGCCTTCTGACAGTGTGGCTCCCCATAGGCCTTTTATCATGCAGAACATTCCTTTCTCCTCTGGGCCAAAGCTTTCCGGTAAAAGCAAGGCCACAGATAACCCACCCTCCTCAGCTAATCGCCCTGCACAGACCCTCAGAGCCACCTCCTCACCCCCACCCCCCCCACAGTCCTCCTGCCCTGTTTCACCAGTTTTGGCCCAAAATAAGGAATAAGAACAATAGTATCTCAGTACCAACTTCCTAAGTGTTAGGCACTGCTTGATGTATTTTAGGTACACTAACTCATTAAATCCCATAATCATCCTCTGACCTAGGGTCTATTATTATTCCTATTTTAGTTCATTTAGGGGAAGAGGGAGGGAGTTAATATTTCTTCAGGGCCAACTGTACACCAAGCACTGTTAAGCTTGCACAATCCGAGGACAGGTGACCTGCCCAGGGTTTGTCACAGAGATTTGAAGTAAGAAATAAGAATCTGGACCCAGGTCTGCAACTGCCTGGCCTATGGTTCCCCTTCCCTTCTCCATGGCTGGCACTGCCATGGTCTGCAAGGGGAAACAGAGTGGCTGCACAAAGACACCCTTCTGTTAACACCTGTCCTCTGTTTTTATTACCACTACCCCAAAACTGTGCCAGACTCCTCTGTCAACTGTGTTCCGCCACTGTCTGGGCCTCCCAGCCAGTTTTCATGGAGCAAATCCTAAAGTCTACAGCAACTGTGTAAACAGAGCCTAAGAAATCTGGGATCCTTCAAGCCAATAAAATACACGAAGAAGTGGACACGAAGAAGGGACACTTCCCTGAAGTGTCCAACCCCTCCTAAATCCCTGGAGTTTCAAGATCTAAGGGGTTACTGCCTCTGGGGAGTTGTTTGGCCAGCTGTAGGGGGTGATACCACCAATGAAAATGAGCAAGCAACTGATGGTCGGAACATGAGCCTTATGTTCTGGGGGCTCGTGGAACTGGCAATAAGAGATGAGGCTCTCTGGGAAATGGGTACCTGGCCGGAAGCAGAGGGGCACTCCCAGCAAGGCCAGTGGGTCGGAAGCCCTCCACCAGGCTCCCAGAGTACTGAGCCCACAAGCTGAAACTCAGTTTACTTCCCCTGGCCCATGAGCTCCAGGAGGGCAGGCCCATGGCAGATTTCTCTCTGAACTCTCAGAGCCAGGGGAAAGTGAGTCCTAGTTAAATACTTCCAGAATAAAGAGCCAAAGCGGGCATCATTTCAGGGAACAGAACAGGCTGTTTTGAGGGATTCTACTCAGACAAGAGAAGGAGACTCCAGGAGAGGGGAAGGGAGTCTGCTCAGAGGCAGGCACACACCTGAGTCCACGTCAACATCCTTCTCCATCCAGAAACGTTTTCACCTGTACTTCCCTTACTCACCCAGGGCACACCCCCCTAAATCCTGTAAATTCAACACCTCAATCTTCTACGAAAAGGCACCTCAATCTTCCTCCCCCTTTTGCAGGGCAGGAAGTTCAGGAACTGGCTTCCTCCTGGCTCTCTGCAGGCAGGCCCCACAGACCCTCCTTTCCTCAAACAAGCCACACTGTCTCCTAACAAAATGTGTTTACTCTGTGGTTCTCCACCCTGGACCTGCTGGACTCCCGCTGAAGTCTGCGCTCCGGCATCCTTCAGAGGTAGAGACCGCGGTTAGAGGCTGTCGGCGCCCTGCACTTTCTATCTACCCAGCTCTTAGCACAGTTCTAACCGCTTACACTGTGTGTGTGTGTAGACTATCTACCGGCTGTACGTCTTTCCACTAGACTGGTGGGCTGCCCCGCCGAGGGCACCACGTCCGGACGCCCAGCACTTGGCCCCGTGGCGGGCACTCGGGGGCACACGAGGAGTACCTGCTGGCCACGTCCTTGCAAGTGCAGGCTGCCAGAGCGGGGAAGGTGGGATCCGAACTCGTGTCTGCCTGCCTGGGGTCAGAGCCAAAGGAGCAGTGGGCGCCAGGCTGACCTGCCCCGGAGCGCTGCCGGGCTCCGCACCCCGCCGCCACCTGGCGCCCCCGCGCCCAGGTGTGGGCCGGCGCCCGCGGGGGCCAAGGCGGGCTGGGGCTTACCTGCGCGTGGCGGGGCTCCGCAGAGGCTCTCTGCGAGCCTCGGGGGACTGCCAGGGACTGGGGTACCTGCCGCGCCGAACCCCGGCTTCCGGAGGGAAGCGTGAGACTGCGCCTGCTCCCGACGCAGCTCGGAGGCCCCGCCGCCCGGGGACCGGCCTGCCCCGCCCCCGCGCGCGAGGAAAGGGGGGCGGGCCTAAGGCGAACCTGACCCCGCGCTCCCGGGGCGCCCCGCCGTGGGCGGAGCCAGAGGGAATCAGCCCTGCGCCCCGCCCCCTTGGGGGCGGTCCCTAAGGAGACTGGGCCCGACGCCCCGCCCCTCCCGGAGCGGTCCCTAAGGAAACCAGCCTGAGCCCCGCCCCTGGGGGCGGTCCCTAAGGAGACTGGGCCCTACGCCCCGCCCCTCCCGGAGCGGCCCCTAAGGAAACCAGCCTTAGCCCCGCCCCCTTGGGGGCGGTCCCTAAGGAGACTGGGCCCGACGCCCCGCCCCTCTCGGGGGCGGTCCCTAAGGAAACCCTGCGCCCCGCCCCCTTGGGGCGGTCTCTAAGGAGACTGGGCCCTACGCCCCGCCTCTTCGCTCCCAGCCCCGCCCGCCCTCCCCTTCCCGGCTCTCCCCCGGGGACCCTTTTGTGTTGTGGGGCCTCTTCGCTTTTTAATTTTCCTGCTTTGTATTCCGTTTTATTTCTTCTTTCTACGTCCCTGTTCTTAAAAGATCGAATTAAAAGATAGAGCAAAGCAATGCATGAACACTCTTTACAAAATAAAGTTATCTAAATGTTCTTATAATGAAGGCAACAGGCCCTTCTCCCTTGCTCCCCACACACAGTCTTTTATATCAGTTCCTCCGTTTAGCTCTTCTGGTGGTCACCCCCTTGTCGCTAAAAAAAAAATAAGCTTACATAGCGATTTCTTGATTTATCTATTGACTTTCTGCCATGTTAGATGAGGATTTACTTTCTTACTGTGCCCCTGCTTCCCTTCTCCTGACAAATTTACACCTCTATTCTTAAGTCTTGGCCTGGTGAGCTCTGAGACCTCGAGGCAGGAGGAGAGGAGGTTTTCTGGACCTACAGCCAATACAGTTGTGGGGGCAGGGAGAAGGGAAAGCTACTTTAGAAAGGCCTGCAGAATTAAGGCTTGCAAATGAACATTTATTTGGAAGGAGCAAAATCCTGAGACCTTGGAAACTCAGGGCTCTATCCCCTGAGACCTTCTTCGATAATTTACTTCCTGAATTTGCTTCCCCAGTGTGGTGGGTCTTCTGCCCATGCAGAATCTTCCATAAAAAGCCCAACCCTCTCAGGGGTTATGAGGTGAAGGTCAAGATTCATCAGTTTCTGGCAATAGGATTTCTTAATGGAGTGAACTAGAGAGTGCAAAAAAGACAGACGTCAAGGATGATATCAAGGTTTTGTGATTGCTGCACAGCTTTTCCTAGCGTCAGTGACAAGTTCTTAACCTTAGTAGGAAGAGTGTTTTATAAGCTGGCTCTGTGCCCCTCCCTGCCCCAGATCCTGGCAGTGCTCACATGAGGTTGGCTGGACCTGTTCACTGTCCTCACTCTAGGAGGGCTCATACTTATCCCTCTTGTAGCAGTGCACACAGTTAGCCCCTGAGTAAATGCCCAGGTAAAGGGGCTTGGTTCCCCCTCCTCACTTAAATGGAAGAAACAGTGTCCCCACCCTCCCTGACACCACTTCTCACTTCAGAGTTCAGCCGTTCCCCTTCCTCTGCTCTTTCTTCTCTTCTGCTCACTCCCCTCTTTCCCTTATCTGGTTCCTGATGGTAGAGGACTTGGGAGTAACTCCAAATGAGGGCGTGAAACGTGGCTCTACACCGTGACCTTGGGCAAAGTCACTTTTCCAATTCAAGCCTGTTTTGTTCTCTGACATTGGAGGTAAGAATCTCCACCGCATTCAGTTTTAGGGGAGGATTAAGTGGCATAATACCCATGTGTACAGGATTTTGTTCATTTTTTAAAACTTTGTTTTTCTAACTCACAAATTTTAAATATTAAATTAAACTTATCGCATATGAAAGTTAATTGCTCTTCTCTTTTTATTGCTTCTGGATTTTGTGTCATACTTAGAAATGCCGTTCCCACTCTAAGACTTTTTTTTCTTAAACTATCATTTGTTTATTTGACAGAAAGAGGGAGGAACAGCACAAGCAGGGAGAGTGGCAGGCAGAAGAAAAGGGAGAAGCAGACTCCCCCACTGACCAGAGAGCCCAATGTGGGGCTCCATCTTGGGACCCTGGGATCATGACCTGAGCTGAAGGCAGATGCTTAACTGACCGAGCCACCCAGACACCCCTCTATTCTAAGATTTTTTTTTTCAAAAATTCAAGTAAAATTACCATTGGATGTCCTCTTCTTCATAACTCAGTTTGTCTTCCAGCAGAGTGGGAGGCTCATGAGAAAGGCTAGGGACTTCTAAGAATCTGTGGGGAGCATGTCGGTACCATAGGTTGGACTTAAATGAAGTGCTAAATCGGGGCACCTGGCTGGCTCAGTCAATGGGGTATGTGACTCCTGATCTTGGGGACTTAAATTTGAGCCCTATGTTGGGTGTAGAGATTACTTTAAAAAAAAAAAACCCAAAGGGTAAGTCATGCTGAGTCTTGACCCTGGACAGAAAGAGCAAGAGGGACTCTGGACAAGGCAAGGGACTCCTCTTTCCCTGGGGTAGGTAAGAAGTCTGTCTTGTAGACAGGAAATAGTGGCTCCTAGTGGTGGGAGGTAAGAACCTCACACAATAACCTCCCTCACCATAACCTAAGTGGAGAAGGAGCAGTAGATGAGAAATCCATTCTGGAGAAACAACTAATATTTTAGAAGGGGGAATACATATCTGGATGAGAGTCGTGTCCTTTGGTTGGGGACATGAAGGGCTACTGCATTATGGGTTTAATGGAGATAAAACTTTTGGGAAGTTTCATTTCTCCCAAATCCTATCACCATGATGGTTCAGGACGGAGGAGGATTTCACATAGAGGGTATCTCAGTTTGGGTTCTTTGGAAGCAGATCCTGAGACAAGGATTCAAGTATGAGTAGTTTATTTGGAAGATAGGGGAACACCAGTGAAAGAATGGAGAAGGATGAAGAATGGAGGGAAGAAAAGGCAATCCAGTAAAGGATGCATTGTTAAGCCAGCTACTAGATGGGAGCTTAATTCTGTAGGAAGACTCTAGACATTGTAAAGAGCATGCCACAGAATTATTCTATCCAAGAAAAGACTCTAGATGGGAGGTCTAACGGGAAAAAACTTTACGGACAGATCAGCTCATTTTTGAACATTTTTCAAATTATTTCCAGGCATAAAAATATGGTCAGCCAGTGAGATCAAGCTGCAACACTACATTTTCTTCCTATCACCTAACAATGGTGTTCGGGCAAAGTTTCAGTTGGAGGGATCCCTGGGTGGCGCAGCGGTTTGGCGCCTGCCTTTGGCCCAGGGCGCGATCCTGGAGACCCGGGATCGAATCCCACGTCGGGCTCCCGGTGCATGGAGCCTGCTTCTCCCTCTGCCTGTGTCTCTGCCTCTCTCTCTTTCTCTCTCTGTGACTATCATAAATAAATAAAAATTAAAAAAAAAAGTTTCAGTTGGAGAATTTTGGGCAGTGATCAATGTGCAGATGGCTGAGAGTCAGTGTCTCAGGCCTAGAAATGTGTCCTGAGGATATTCTGGAAAACCCGCTCTCAGACAGATCGTGATAGGACTTCAGCTGGGTCACCCTCTGCATTTGGATGAGCCAATAATCTTGACTTCTGAACTCTCTCACAAGAAATGGCATACTTTAGCTGAGTAAAACTAACACGTAAAAAAAAAGAGGCTGGTGGACTTTTAAAATGTCCAATGAGGGCAAACTTTTCAATCACTGTAAGTACTTCAGAAGATGGATGTTTTCTCACAAGCAGAGAACAGATAATGCCAATGCCAAGTCTGTCTTATATGGCCTTTCAGACAGGCTTCCGTGAGAAAGCTGTCATTTTGTCAACCCTGGCTTCATTAGCCATACTTGCTATTGGACTAAAATGATCCTTTTAAAACATGAAACAGTTCCCCTGGCTCAAAAGCCCTCAGTGGCTTTTGCCAAAATTAGGGTCAAATCCCAAGTGCTCCTCATTGGCCTCCAAGGCCCTCGTGAGATCTGCCTTGACAAGATCTTCTTGACATTGTCTCCTGACACTGACCCCTGGGTGTTCCTCGCCTCTAGTCTCCTTGGCTTTGCTGTTGTCCCTTGAACACATTGGGTCTGCAGTAACCCCAGAGTTACTGTACTCCTGTTCTCACTGATTAAAATACTACCTCCCTAAATTCTTAAGGGAATTTGCTGAATTCATCAGCTCTCTAATAGACCACTATCTCACTATCTAACAAACAAAAAACACTCCCATACTGTCCCATTCATAGCACTTATTATCTGTCACCGAAATAAGTTTTTGTTTATTATGTGTGTAATAAGTATAAGGTCCAAAAAGGGCTGACTCTTTATATATTTTGTTCCCTGATATATCCCCACACTTAGAGCAAACAGTGCCTGATGCCTAGTAGGTACTTAATAAATATTTGTTAAATGAATCAATCAATTGAATTGAGTGAACAAAAAATATTTAAAAAATCAATTTAATATATAGTTAAAAAATACTCCAGAATGTGGACTTTCAACTAACCCAGATTGGATTCCTCTCAGAGAATTGTTGGAGCAGAGTGAGAAAAAAATAAAATGAAGTGGTTGAGACGCATTATATAATCAGATTCATAATTACAGATGAGTTTTGGACTGAGTACCTTTGCTACTTTGTCTTTGACCCCATGTCTGTGTTAAATATTTAAGAAAAGGTTAGTTTAAAGGCTACATACTCGTTTAAAAGTAGTAAGAAGAAAAAAGAAGAAAGGTTCCCCTAGTCATTTTAATAATTCAGAATGGGGTTCTGTGGCTTCTGTTGGCATTTGAGGGCCCAAGATGGTAACTGCTTACCTGAAAATAGAGATCTTGATCAAATATTTAAGATTTCACTTATTTTTATTTTCTGCGTATTTTTTTATTCCTGTGTCCCAATTCTTTTTACCCATTCTGCAGCTGCACAATTCACACACTAAAGCTAATAGAAATGTTTCATGGATTATTAAATGCGGCTAAGCAATGAGCT